CCCCCCCAAAAGCGCCCCCCCCCTCCACAGCAGGCCTAGCAATTTTGAACTCTTGAAATAAGTCACATGGCCTGTCGTTGTAGGACTCCTGGGAACAACCGTACCCCAAAGCTTGTGGTATGGGTGTTACAGGGAAAGGAGGCAGCTTGCCCTAGGTCCCCCAGAGATCACGTTTTGGGCTAGGCTAAGCCAGGGCCAGGCAGGAGGAAGGTGGCACAGTTCCACAGTGTGGTGCTCACTCAGCCCAGCAGCTGAACCAGAAGCACAAACCTCCCACACCCAGGCCAGCTACCTGTCTTCACAGTGGAAATGCTGGCCAGGCCTTGGCTGATATAAGGCCAAGGGGCAGGGCCTGGCCCATAATGTCGGTGATCCCAGAGGACCCTAAGTCAGCCTAGGGGGGGTCCTGGTTTGCCTGCAGATTCCTTTGTGTGCCATGGAATGTGGAGAGATTCGTGAGTGGGGCTCCTCCTCCCCTCGGAACCTATGTCAGAGCTACAGACTTGGCCTCTGGCCTCGGGGGGTCTCGGTTCCACATTCCCACAGGGGCCTGCACATTTGGCAGAGTCCTCAGCGGGGTGGCCACAGCCGGGATCCCACTTCTGCTTTGGTGGGGAGACTGAGCGTGGGGCAGGGTGGCGGCCAGCTTCTCCTTGTCCGAGTTACGGATGTCAAAGGTGCAGGCCTTAGAACTGGTCCCTGATTCAAGTGCAAGGAGGAATCAGCATCAATGATCTGCCATTAATTAGGACTTTAAATGCAAAAAAGAGAGAGAGAGAGAAAAAAGGCACCCTGATCCTCCCCTATTCCCTCCAGAACACGTACCCCTGTTTCTCCTGCTGGTTGACGTGTAGGAAACCAAATCTGAACCGTTCCCGAAACAGTAGCCAGAATCATTAAGAAGCTGCTGTACCAGGAACTCCGTCTCCAAAGCCCTAGGCGATACGTCTGAAATGCAAACACCCCTGTGAGAGGAAAGCCTTAAACAGAGCCAAGTAGCCACCCTGCCTTCCGTTTGGGTTCCTGCGATTTCTCACGCAGATGGAGTCAGACATTCAAGAGCTTCTGTTGCTGTTGGCCACGTGACAGAAGAAGGATGACTTTATGTTTCCCCTGGGCCGTCCCATCCCACTGCCCACCCCATTTTTTCACTTTCCCGCCCCAGCCCACGTGGTCCCGGAGGGAGAAAACGTACTTGGCCTCTCTCACCGGCGAGTCGGTCTCCCAGGCAGCTCTGCGCGGACGGATGGGCCCGACTTGGGGTGAGAACACCACGTGCCCTCAGGAGCAGCTGCAGGAGCCTGGGCCGCGTGACCGGACGGGGAACGTGCAGACGGTTGCTCGGGTGGGGAAGGTCACCCGTCACCTTCGCGGGCCTGTGCTCCCAGGAGCCTGGCAGCCACGTGGAAGAGCCACATCAGCACGTTCTTGGCGCTCCCTTCTCGAAGCCCCGGCCCTGCTCTGAGGAGCCTTCCCGCCACAGGCCCGGGAAGGCTTGTCACTCGCTTCGGGGCTTTGAGGTTGGTGGCTCACCCGAGGCTTTAATGTTTTCTCCAGCACAGCCTGTGCCAAGCTCGAGTTGTTCTCAAGGTTAATCAGAAGTTTGAACTCTTTTGAGTAACTTTCTCTGTAAAAACGAAGGAATGTTTACAGTGCTGCTTTTTTATTTGTTTTGAGACCTTGGTGAAGGTCAGGCTCATCCTTCGTCCTACCCCATGCCACGTAAGTCGTAAGAGGTATCTGTCAGGTCCTGGTTCCTGAGAAAGGATTTGCTGCTCCTGTCGAGATTGGGGG